AGAAAATGTTGGAAAATATGGGAAGTGGGGGGGAAGACAAAAACCAAGAAAATTTGAGATAATCTGGGGAATCCTGTTATTTACTTTTATTTATGTGTGTGTGTGTGTGTCCCTGGGCCCCTTAATTCTTGTTGAGGGCTTCTTGTGGTCGGGCCCCCCACTGCATGGCTGGCGCCCCCCGACGAGGTGCGAGGCGTTCCAGCGCAGCTTCGGGTCTCTCTCCAGCGGGGAGAGGGTCGTGCAGCACCAGGACTACGTCGGGCCTGTCCCTCCACAGAAGGGAACATTCGAAAATAGTTTCAAAAAAGGTCAGGGGACGATGTGTTGAGTATTCTTCGGCATCGTTCGAGTATTGCTTGGGTACTTTTATGTTTCGTCCAAAATCTCCCTGTAGGGGGACAGGCCCGACCTAACACCAGGACCTCGGCAAGAAGATGGACGGCGTGGGCAGGCGGCTCCACCCCATCATCGTGTTCCTGGTGCTGGAGCGGGCGACCCAGCTGAGCCTCGACGCGGCCCAGTGGCGCTGCGAGTCGGCCCCCTTCACGCTGCTGCATTACGCCTTCCGGCACATCGTGCGCACGCTCGGCGTCGCGGCGGCGATCTGGCGCATCGGGCGGCTCAACGCCAGCATCTACGACGACCTGACCGGCAAGGTTCGGGGGTGGACAGAACCCACATCTAGTGAATTGTCCGTTCTCGGTTCACGAGAGGGCGCCGCGGCCGTCACTTTCCAGGCTTGCGCCCGCCAGGTTCGGGCCCGAGGTCGTTTTCGCTAAACCACGTTTTACTAAAGGGGGTTCTGGCCGGACGAAAGGGGGGGATTGGGAAAGGGGGGGTTACGGAATTTGCTGCATGCAGCTGGTTTCGGCCTCACCGAGGGGCCCATTCCTCGATACGTAGCCGTCTCCGGCGCCGGGAGGCGCCGGGAAAATCAGCTACGTGAGCTGATTCTCAAACGCCCCCTTTGCTCCCAGCCGCGGCCGCAGCCGCAGCCCCAACCGCGGCCGCGGCCGCGGCTGGGAGAAGAAAACCACCGCGAAAACTTCGCGATAGTTTCCCCCTCCCAGCCACGGCCGCAGCCGCAGCCCCGACCGCAGCCGCGGCCGCGGCTGGAAGAAGAAAACCGCCGCGAAAAAATCGCGATAGTTTCCCCCCCTTTCGCCCGACCCGGATAAGGTTCTGTCCACCCCCGAGAGGTGCAGTTCCAGCTCGTCTGCTGCCACCAGGAGCCGGAGGTGGGCGGCGAGGAGCTGCAGCGGCGCCGCAGGAGCGCGGCCGCGCGCGCCGGAGGGGGGGCCCTCGCTTTTGGCGGCCTTTGGTGCGCGTCGGTAGGGGGGCGCGGAGGGGCCAGATCCTCATCAGCCACTCGCAGAGGAGGTCAGAGACCCGAATCATCAGGGGTAACTCGGGTCAGGGCTAACTCGGGTTCGTTTTTCGGGAATCCGAACCCGAGTTGCCCCAGGCCCGAGTTACCCCAGATAACTCGGTCGTCCAGAGCCCCAAATCATTAGGGATAATTCGGGTCAGGGCTAACTCGGGTTCGTTTTTTCGGGAATCCAAACCCGAGTTACCCCGGGCCCGAGTTACCCCGGATAACTCGGGCGCCCAAGGAGTGTGCGGGGGGGGGGGCTTCTTAGAAGCACGCCTGCTTCTTAGAAGGCGCGCCCCCTGGTGTGCACCGCCAACACACCTGGGGGAACAAAAGGTGGCATAAACAGAACCCATCGGAGGTAAGCGCGGATTTCTCGGATCGGCGCTGGACACCCCCCTCCCTGGCGCGCTCCGCGCGCCAGGGGCGGCGCCGGAGGGGGCTCCAGCGCCGATCCGAGACATCTGCGCGGACCTTCGGGTTTTGATGCTGATGCCACTTTTTGTTCCCCCAATGCCGCTGCTCGCCCTGGCGAACCATCGTCACCACGACTGGAGTCTCCTCGAAGTTCCGATCTTAAGTCGGGTCTGTCCCTCTACAGGAGGAATGTTCAAAAATAGTCGAACAATAACATGGGGACGATCTGTTTTTAACAATGTTTGAGTATTTTACTGTAGTTTGTGCCTATTTCTGTTTTTCTGTCGTCCAAAATCCCCCTGTAGGGGGACAGGCCCGACTTAATTCTGAGCCGAGCGCAGCCTTTTGCAGAGGTCCGGTCCAGGCCCTGGTGCCCCAGCCCCGGGGCACGCCGAGGCGCGCCCAGGCCGCACGGCGTGCAGCGGCCGGCGGGCTGCGCACCGAAGGCCGCTGTTGCCCGGGGCCACTCCTGCCGCGCAGCCGGGCAGGGAGCTCAGGGACTGGGTCGCCTACCTGCAGCACAACAGCAACGGCAGCCGCAGGCATCCTTGGCATCGCTCGCACGTGTGCATGTTTTCTTCGGCGAGGACAATCGAGGAGCATCCTTGATCATTTGGCGGACAAAATCACGGACGAAACCGAAGAAAACACAGGGAATGGACGTCCGAGCGGTGGCGAGTATCGGGGAGGCGTAAGGCTCGGGCTTTTGCGACGCCGTTCCCCCACATCCGAAGTGGGGTTCTTGCTTTCTCTGGCCCCCCGCGCAGGAGCAAAAATTCCCCCTCCCTTCTCACTCTCACACACACACTCACATCATCATCATCATCATCATCATCATCATCATCATCATCATCATCATCATCATCATCATCATCATCATCATCATTATTATCATCATTATCATCATCATCATCATCATCATCATCATCATCATCATCTTCATCTTCATCTTCATCTTCATCTTCATCTTCATCTTCATCTTCATCTTCATCGTCATCTTCATCTTCATCTTCATCATCATCATCAGCATCAGCATCAGCATCACCATCGTCATCGTCATCGTCATCGTCATCATCACCACCATCATCATCATCATCATCATCATCATCCTCATCAGCATCAGCATCAGTATCATCATCATCATCCTCATCATCATCATCATCGTCATCATCACCATCACCATCGTCATCGTCATCGTCATTATCATCCTAACAACATCATCATTACACACACTCGCACACACTCATTATCCAAGCCAGTCGCTCACAACTACTACTCACCATCTTCATCATCATCATCATCATCACCATCACAACGCTATCGTCAGCAGAGCCTCGTCTGTGAGTGAATTGCGAGGATGTCTCAGGCGGGAACCTCTTCCCTATGGGGCCCGCCGCTCATGTTTGTAATGCGAGCGGGTCATCGGCATCCTGTAACTGTTGTCAGTTTTGGGTCCCTGAGGCCTGAAGGTGTAGGACGTATCAGGCGGGAGCCTCGTCGGTGAGTGACTAGCGAAGAGGTCTCAGGCGGGAACCCACTCCCTATGGGACCCGCCGCTCACGTTTTTAATCCGAGCGGGTCGTCGGGATCCTGTAACGGTCGTCACTTTTGGGCCCCTGAGGCCTGGATATGTAGGAAGTATCAGGCGGGAGCTTCGTTTGTGAGCGATACGCGAGGAAGTCTCAGGCGGGAACCCCTTCATTATGGGGCCCGCCGCTGATGTTTTGAACCCGAGCTGGCCATTGGAATTTCATATATGGCCCCTTTTCTGTTGCCCTTGAGGTTTGAATATGACGGAAGTATCAGGCGGGAGCTTCGTGTGTGAGTGAATTGCGGGGAAGTCTCAGGCGGGAACCCTCTCTCTATGAGGCCCGCCGCGAATGTTTTGAATTCGAGCGGGTCATCTGGATCCTGTAAATGTCGTTCTTCTTGGGCCCCTGAGGCGTGGATATGGAGGAAATATCAGGCGGGTGGCTGCCGCGCTGTACATCGCGTTGGACCGTCGCGCATGCCACGGACGCAGTGACACGCACGACGTGGAGGAGTCCACGCACAACTGGCCGCACCACCAATTCGGGCGCGTTCCCTTCGTGTTGCACCTCGGCGATCTTCTGTTTCCGAAGCCCACGGGCAACATCGGCCTCTTGACGGACGTGGACGAGCTCCTGGGCGACGGGTCTTACAAGTACGCGGAGCCGCCGACGGTGGAGATTCAGCACGCCATCAAGGTCTTCTGTCAGATCCCTTGCGTCATCGAGCTGAAAGGCGCGAAGCGCTTCAAGCCCGGGGACCCTCTGATCACGTTCTTGGGCTGCGCGCGCGATGGCGAGCCCTTCTCGCCAGAGGTCTGGTCCGCGTGGGAAACGGCGTTGGCCTCGGACAGCCACGGCATCCTGGGCCTTTTTTTCACCAGCGGTAGAACTTTCGGCTCGGCTACGGCACGGGCGTCTATTGGGAGACGCTGGAGAGGTGGATCAACACGTGCGCTCGTCGCGACGCGCGGCGAGCCTGACGCGATTCATAGCTATCCCGACGCGGGCCAGCGCCTCCTGAAGGCTCCGAAGACGCACCAGACGGGGAACATCCACGGCGCTTTGCCGGCCCGCTTCGGCACGGAGGTGCGATTCACGGCAGTGCAGGAAAAGCTGCAGAAGAAGTTGGGGCTCGCGCAGGAGGAACGGGCCACCGTCGCATCCTTCGACTTTGACCCCGAGGACGAGCAGCGGCGCGAGGAGTGCTCGCCGGGCCAGCTTTTCCGCCCGCGCTACCTGCCGCGGGGACTCTGGCTGCGGGCGCACGGTTTCAAGGAGTCTCCGATCTACCAGGAGGTCGTCGAGGTGCTGCCACAGGGCGCCGATGGCGCCGACGACGACAGCGAGGCCGAGGCGCGGGCGAGGAGCTCGTTCGCGTTCAGGCCCATCGCGCAGGAGCTCACGTGGCAAAGCCCGGGGCCGCCGCTCGGGGTTCACCGTGGCGCACGCGTCGCGCCTCGCCTCCACGCCGTCGCACGCCCAGACGCTGCGCAAGGGCGCCACCATCGCCTGCGCGAGGGGCGAGGGCGCTGGTCGCGCAGTCATGTCGGACGAGCAGCGGTGGCTTCCCCTCTGCGTCATGTCCCCCCGCGGCCGCCGCCGCGAAAGTTCCTGGAGCGAGGGCCGCCGGCGCCTTTTGCGGAAGGTGCCCCTGGTATTCGACGTCGGCGGAGCGGAGAGCGCCAGGGCAGAGGCGGGGCAGCGCGCGGCGAAGCTGGGCTTCGCGCTGCCCCCCGCCTGAGCGCGCCGGCGCCCCGCTCGGAGCCCGCGGGGCTGTCCCAACGGCTTGGTCTTGCGCGCCAGCGGCTCGCGCGGTTGCCCCGACGGCCCGGCCCGCGGGGCCGCCCCCGACGGCTGCGCGACTTCGCCGTCGTAGAACGCGCCCTTGCCAGGCGCGGCGGCGAAGGCGGAGAGGAACATCGACGAGGCGCCCCTGCCAGGACGAAGGAGAGGCGCAGGAGGAGAACGAGCGGGGCGGCGATGATGGGGGCGAAAAGGAGGAGGAGGAGGAGGAGGAGGAGGAGGAGGAGGAGGATCAGGAGGAGGAGGAGGAAAAGGAGGAGGAGGAGGAGGAGGAGGGCAAAGCAAAGGCCAAAGACGAGGACGAACATGGGGAGGAGAGGGGGGAGGAGGAGGAGGCGGATGAGGAAGATAAGGAGAAATGCAATGAGTACGACGAGAAGGAAAATGAGGAGGAGAAGGAGGAAAAAGAGGAGGAGGACGGAGAGGGCGGAAGGAAACCTCCGCCAGACGAAGAAGAACAAAACAACTTGCGAAGTAAATCGGTTCTCGTGTGAAATCACACCGTCGGAGTAGTTGACGAGACCGTCCTGAGCTTTCGCGGTCCAGTTTTCGCGGGATGTGTGCGGCGAGAGCTCGCGTCAAATCTTAGATTGGGCCTCGTCATTGTCACGATGGCCCGCCAGGCCAACCCGAGCCCCTCGTGCCCGAGTCTTGCGTGGCGAAGCGTCCCGGCTTGCCTATTAGGCCCACCGAAGCATGTTCTGAGAACGTTTCGTGCTTTGCACGACGTGATCGTAGAACGTGCCTGGTTGAGCTTGCTTTGTATTTTAGCACACCGGGTTCATATCATAAGAACACGGTTTTGTTCTTAGGTTAAGATGGTCCAACCGGTTCTAGCGTTCTAGCCTTGATCACCAGGAAGAATTTCGAGCACCGGCGAAGTACCGAAACTTGAGGGTTTTCACGTGTCGGGCGCTCGGAGGCCACACTCGTTCGACACAGTTTCGACACCCTTTTTGGGTGTTCCGGTTAACTTGTGGAATGTGGTCATTCGATGGGAACAGCATAATCATCATATTACTTTGGGGGGTCAGAGAACATCCGAGGTGGACACTTATACATGACAACGGCATGGAAAATCAATTTTCGGGGACCTCGGCAGGCGGCGCGTCTGGATATGTTCGGGCCCCCCGGGGCCAAAACATATCCATATCCGCCGCCCGCTGGGGCACCAGGGCCTCGGCTTCCAGGCGGTGGATATGGATAAATCCCCGCCTCGCACAACATTCCGTGGCAGGCTTCTGGGTGCTCCGAATTATTCTTGGGATGTGGTCCTCAAGTACGATGGGGGCAACCGAATCCTCCGATTTGTTTGGGCGTTGTGGGAACATTCCGTGGTGGGCCTGCAGGAGTGTTGTTACCAGCCTGGAACATATCACCTCCTCATCACGATGCAAATCTTAGGGATTCCCTTATTTTTTAAGGGCGAATCCCTAAGATTGTCATCGCCTTTTGGCGTGTCAATCTTAGGGATAGGGATACGTTCGAGGCTGGTAATGTTGGGGCGCCCAGCCCCTGCTCAGAGGTACTGCCTGCGTGTATGCGGCTTCCAGTGCTGCCTCCGCCCGCACACGGCGGCCGCGTGGGCCGTGACGCTGGCGCTGCTCCCCGCGGGCCAGCGGCTGCTCGGCCTCCTGCCGGGGCTGTGAGGGCACCCCGCTCTCCCTCCCTCGCCGCTCAGCAGGAGGAGTGAGGAGGAGGACGAGGAGGAGGAGGAGGATGAGGATGGCGATGAGGATGAGGATGGGAATGAGGATGAGGATGAAGATGGCGATGAGGACGCCGAGGATGAGGATGAGGATGAGGATGAGGATGAGGATGAGGATGAGGATGATGATGAGGAGGAGGAGGAGGATGTGGATGTGGATGAGGATGAGAATGAGGATGAGGATGAGGATGATGATGATGATGATGCTGATGATGATGATGCTGCTGATGATGATGATGGTGATGATGATGAGGAGGAGGAGGATGAGGATGAGGGCGCCCTGCTCCCCTCAGGGCTCTTTTCGATGCCTCCGATTCGATTCGATTCGATTCGATGCCTCCCCCGAAGCTCAGCAGGAGGAGGGAGGAGGGAGGACGAGGATGAGGATAAGGCCGAGGATGAGGGTGAGGATGAAGATGAGGGTGAGGATGATGAGAGGATGATGATGATGATGATGATGATGATGATGATGATGATGATAATGATGATGCTGATGATGCGGTGATGATGATGATGATGATGATGATGATGATGAAAATGCTGATGATGATGATGATGATGATGATGATGCGAGGATGATGATGATGATGATGATGATGATGCGATGATGATGATGATGATGATGATGATGATGCGATGATGATGATGATGATGATGATGATGCGATGATGATGATGATGATGATGATGATGATGATGATGATGATGATGATGATGATGATGATGATGATGATGATGATGATGATGATGTGATGGATGATGATGATGATGGTGATGATGATGAGGGTGATGATGGTGATGATGTGAGGATGATGATGGATGTGATGATGGTGATAGTCATGATGATATCATGGTGATGGTGATGATGATGCTGATGATGATGATGATGATGATGGTGATGATGGATGATGATGATGATGATGTGATGCTGATGCTGATGCTGATGCTGATGCTGATGCTGATGCTGCTGATGATGATGATGATGATGATGATGATGATGATGATGGTGATGGTGATGGTGATGGTGATGGTGATGGTGATGGTGATGGTGATGGTGATGATGATGATGACGGCGACGACGACGACGATGATGATGAGGATGATGATGAGGATGAGGATGAGGATAAGGGCGCCCTGCTCCTCTCAGGGCTTTTTTTTCGATTCCTCCGATTCGATTCGATTCGATTTTTGATGGCCTCCGATTCCGATTCGATTCGACTTGGGATTCCGATCTGGATGCCGATTCCTTACCGGAGGCCTACTGGCCTGCCGATTTCCGCCGATTCGACTTTTCCCGACTCGGCTGCCGATTTCCGCCGATCCGATCCATTCCGATCGCCGATCCGCCTTGTCGATTCGATTCTGGGCTCTCCTGTCCCCTCCCTCGCCCCTCAGCAGGAGGAGAAGGACACCGTTCCAGCGCCGATCGAAGAGACCCGCACGGAACTCGGAAATCTTGCTTGGCGGCGCGCACAAGGGGGATATGGGGGAGGGGGGAAGGCTTGTCAGAAGGAGGCTGCTTCCTGGAAGGTGCCGGCCTTACACATTTAGATGAGGCCCGCGCCTGCTAAGAAGCAGCCTCCTGCGAAGCCTTCCCCCCCTCCCCCTTATCCCCCTTTGTGCGCGTGGCCGATTCTGTTGATGCAACTTGTTGTGTTCGATTACTGGCCCTCGCGATGGTGGGCGGCGGGGCCGGGCCATCCTCCTCGGCGCCAGCATCCCGCAGGGCAGGCACGGGCACCCCCAGCCCTTCTGCAGCACAAGAGGCTGGATTCCCCCCGAAGTGCTGTGCGGAACGCGCTCCTGGAGAGGTCCAACGAGTGGCGAGATCGGTGCCGCTGTGTGCCCCCCATCCCCGTCCCCGTGCGTGTGCCCTGCTTCGTCCGCGGAGTCCGCGCGCCAGTTCTCGAGGGCGAGGCAGAGCACACACACAGACCGTCGGAGCTCTGCGCCGATCTCCGGGGTCGGCGCTGGGCCCCCCCGTGGCGGCGTCTCCGCCGCGCGCCGGGGAGAGGGGGCCAAGGCGCAGAGCCAGGAATCCGCGCGGAGCTCCAACCGCATCTTCTTGTGCAGGTTGAGCTTCCTCTGCTTTTCCAGCATCCCTCTCCTGACTTTCCCTCCTCCCCGCCCCGTCCAGTGACGTTACCTCCACGGCGTCGCGCGAAAATAAGTGACAACGAGCAGAACGAGGACCAGGATCATCAGCAGAAGGGCGAGACCAGAATCTAGTTAACGATGGGTGACAAGTGCGATGTTCGAAGAACCTCGGATGCAAGCTACGTACGCTATGCGAGTGGACAGCGGCACATGTGGCGCTCGAGTGCAGAGTCTTGCTGTAACGCTCGGTCCATTGCTGCGCCGACAGAACTGGCGCTGCGGCATCACATATTTCTCTCGGCGGCCCCGCTGGGGGGGAAGGCAGAGGGGGCGGGCGTTCTCAGAAGGCCCAGAAGTCCTCTGGCCTTCAGAGAAACTTTCTAAATACGGCAGATTCGCGTCTTGCCGACCGGCTGCGACCCCAGCGCGTGCGTTTGAGGTTGAACGCCGCCCGTGGCCCAGAATCGGCCCGTCTTTGACGATCCGGCGTTCTCAGAACGGCCGATCGCTCAAGTTTGAACGATCGCCGCGGTGTCGGGAACCAACGCCAGGGTCCACACTTCTCGAACCTGCCGTGAGCCTCCTCCGAAGCCACAGGGGGCTTCTCAGGTTTAGGCGATCGCAAACATGGATCAAGGGGGCGTGGATTAGCGACGCGTCCCGTTTCCATGGGAAATCGCGGATTCCCGCCGCCGAACGAGGCGGCGCCGGCCGCACTTCGAGGAGGGCACCTCCCCCGATCCACGGACTTGCAGACCGCGCGCTAAATCCATGGATCGCTAATCCATGTTTTCGCATCCCCGAGTAAGCGCTTGACAGTGGATGATTGTTTAACGCGCGGCGTCGTCTGCGCGCAACTCTGCGGGGTTGCAGCCCGCTTTGCCATTGGGACGTGATCGTGGTATGTCACGCCGCTGGGCTGCTCGGACCAGAGTTTGCCGAAGGGTGGTCCGGAGCCGCCGGTGGCTTCTCCGGTGGTCGGGGCGCTTCTCGAGGGCCCCGCCGCATGCCGAGAAGGGCCTGCCCCCAACGGCACACATCTCTGCTTTGATTCAGGAGGGGAAAAAACACACAGACACAATTAATCGTCGACTCCCCAGGAAATATTGGAAAATATGGGAAGTGGGGGGGAAGACAAAAACCCAGAAAACATGGAAAAATAGGGGGCATCTTTTTATCTGTGTGTCTTCATTTGTGTGTCCCAGGGCCCCTTCGTTGATGCCATTCCTCGCAGAGTCCCCGCGGCGGGTCCAAGAGCCCTCTTCGAGCAGTGCCTCCGCGAGTCGTGGGGCGCCGCTCGCCTCAACGCCCGCGCGCCGCGCCGCAGGGGCGAACCCCACGAGGGCGCGCCCCGGGAGCCAGCGCGGCGCGAGCAGCCGGGCGCTGGCGCGGCGTCTGCTGCTGCCGCAGGAGGGGAAAAAACACACAGACACAATTAATCGCCGATTCCCAGAAAATGTGGGAAACTATGGAAGGTGGGGGGGAAGACCTAAACCCAGAAAATGTAGGAAAATATGGGGAATCCGGTTATTTGTGTCTATTTATTTGCGTGTCCAAAGGCCGCTTCAGCTGCCGCAGGCAGGCCGCCGGCGCTGGCCCGCGCCCGCGCGCGTGGGCCAGGCGGGCGAGGGGCCGGACCTCGGGGCTCGGCGCGAGCGACATGGGCACGGGGAGACTGGGTACAGTCTTGGCACCGCTCGGACGTGCGCATGTTTCCTGGATTGTTTTTGGCGAAAGCAGCCACGCACGAAACCGCACAAAACACAGAGAATGGGGTACAATGCCCAGCAGAACGACATGGGTACGGAAAGAATTGGTACGGAAAGAACGACGTGGACGAACGACATGGCAGGAACGACAGGCAGGGGCACGGAAAGAATTGGTACGGAAAGAATGGGCACAGTCGGACAACATTGGACAGGACACGCGAGAGAGCATAAAATCCTTCCGAGGGCCACATCGCCACTGGAGTGTAAGAAGGCACGTGTCGCGAGGCACACGACACAAAAGTACCCTTGTGCTGGCAGGGTTGACCTACTAATCCGGGCCGACTCTACGATGCCCAGCAGCAGTTCCTGCTCATGTTGAACAGGCCTCGCTGTCGGTGTCGCCGCGGCCTGTGTCTATTTGAGGCAGAAGACCGCCTGCCCAGCAGCGGCCGCTGCTGGTTTGGGACAACATTTGTTGTTGGGCATTGTACCCATTCTTTCCGTACCCATTTCGGGCGTCCAAATCGAGAGACGGGGGCCCGTGCCAACGGGGGTCTGTCAGAGCGCCGGATCTCGCAGGATCCTGCAGAGCCAGGGGCGCGTCGGCCCAGGTTTGGGCGCAGGGTCCTGCGAAACAAATCTTGCAGGATCCTGCGAGGCTGGCCTGACCCAGGCTTGGCTCGACCCGGGCGCCAGCAGATCCCAGACCAACAGCGGGCAGGAAGGCGCAGGAGCCGCCAGAATTGCAGAAGGCAGGTCGCTGGGTGCCAGGCGTGGGCAGGAGCGGGCGGGGACCACAACGGGAGGAGCGCCGCGGGGACCTCTTGCCGCCCATGCGTTGGCCAGCGGGCTGGGAGCCGCAGGGGGCCATGGCAGGCGTGTGCGGAATTACCCGCCTGGAACATGTCCCTATCCCTATGCTGGGCACCTCCTCATCACGATGTTAATCTTAGGGATTTTTTTATCTTTTGAGGGCGATTCCCTAAGATTGTCATCGCCTTTGGGCGTGCCAATCTTGGGGATAGGGATACGAGAAGGCAGGTCGTGGAGGCCCGACGTCGCTCATGCGTGCGCTGGCCTCTGGCGCGGGGGGCGCCAGAGGTCGGCAGGTGCGCGCGGGGGCTGCCAGACTCGCGCCTCCTCCTCCTCCTCTCCCCCTCTCCTCCTCCGCCTCCTCCTCCTCCTCCTCCTCCTCCTCCTCCTCCTCCTCCCCTTCCTCCCTCCTCCGCCTCCTCCCCTCCTCCTCCTCATCCTCCTCCTCTCCTCCTCCTCCCCTCCTCCTCCTCCCCCCCCCTCCTCTCCTCCTCCTCCTCCCCCTCTCCTCCTCCTCCTCCTCCTCCCCCTCCTCCTCCTCCTCCTCCTCCTCCCCTCCTCCTCCTCCTCCTCCTCCTCCTCCTCCTCCTCCTCCTCCTCCCCCTCCCCCTCCCCCTCCTCCTCCTCTCCTCCTCCTCCTCCTCCTCCTCCTCCTCCTCCTCCTCCTCCTCCTCCTCCTCAAAGGAGCCGCGGGGGCCGCTGGGGCCTCCTGTCGGCTGTGCGGTGGCCGGCCGGGCTGGGTGCCCAAAGCGGGCAGGGCATCACCATCCACCAAACCACCCCAACCCAACCCGAAGGCCCAAATTAACCCCGATTTCCAGTGGGGGGGGGATCGGGGAACACTGAAAAAACACATGGAACCCGTACCCCCCCCCCCCAACCCGAAATTCGATTCAAATTCGGGTCTTCGGGTTGGGTTGGGGTGGTCTGGTAGGTGATCAGGGCAGGCGGGCCCCTGAGCCGCAGTGGAATTCTTGTGCCGTCTTCGCCCACGCGCTGACCGGGCGGTCTGGGAGCCCACGGTCGGCAGGTGCTTTTGGGAGCCGAGGCCATGACAGGCAAGAGACTGAGCCGCTGCGGTTTGTTTTCGCAACGCTCCTGTCCCGCGCGGGGCAACGCCTTGGAGTGAGCTGTTTGGCACGTTCGCTGGCCACGCGATGTGCGCTTCAGGCCAGCGTGCACACTTGGAGTGAGACTCCTAGCGAGCTTCTGGGCGACGACGTTGGCGACGCGATGTACGCCGCAGGCGAGTGGGCACGCTTGGAGTGAACCTGCAGGCGGCAGCTCTGGCCACGCGGTGTGCCGTGCCTGGAGAGCTGCTGGGAGAGAGCGGGCGCTCCTGGAGCGAGCCTCCTGGCCAGTTTTTTGGGGCGGCAGCGCTGGCGGCGCGACGTGCACCGTGACCCAGCGGGCCCGGGCACGGTTGGAGGAAGTTTTTTGGGTCTGCCTCCTCCTCCTCCTCCACCTCATCCTCCCCTCCCTTCCTCCTCCTCCCTCCCTCCTCCTCCTCCCCCTGCCTCCTCCTCCTCTCCTCCTCCTCCTCCTCCTCCTCCTGCTTCCTCCTCCTCCTCCTCCTCTTCCTCCTCCTTCTCCTCCTCCTCCTCCTCCTCCTCCTCCTCCTCCTCCTCCTCCTCCTCCTCCCCCCCCTCCTTCTCCTTCCTCCTCCTGGCAGCAACGTCGGCAACGCGATATCTGCCAGATGCGAGCGAGCAGGGTTGAAGTGAGCCTCGTGGCCTTGATGGCAAGCTCATTGGCGACGGCGCTTGCGACGCGACGTGCGCGGCAAGCGAACGGCACGCTTGGAGTGAGTTTCCTGGCGACTGGTGGTGGTGACGCGTATGGGCGCCGCAAGCATGACGCTTGGAATGAGCTTCCTCGCCCCCTGGTCTGCATCCTGGCCACGACGCTGACATCTGCGACCGCTCGATTGCGAATGGGTGACCGACCAGCGGCGCCAGCCAATGTAGACAATACTCGACGCAAGCTGTACCCCGCGAGAAGGTTGTTAGAAATCCCGGAATCCCCGGAACGTATCAATAGCACGTTGTTCGGGGGCGGCAGCGAGGGGGGTGATGACTAGGGGGGGGATATCATGGCGGGGGCCATGATATTTCCCAGATGTCATGGCGCCTCTTCTTGTTTCGTTACGTCCCGGGCCCACCCGCTGGGCCGCGCACGTGCCGCCGGTCATGATTTGCACACCCCCCCTCTTGGACACCGGCCTCTTGGCCGCTCCCGAGTTGTGTCAATCGATTCTTCTCGATCTAATCCTGGCCTGCATCCTGGCCGCGACGCCGACCACGCGAAGGATGGTGCCCGCGAGCGGGCACGCCTTGGAGGGAGCTTCCTGGCGTATCCGCGCGGGTCGCGCGAGATGTGCGCCGCAGCCGTGCGCTGGCACGCTTCTGCGCCGCAGCGCGGCAGAGGCTCCTCCTCCTCCTCCTCCTCCTCCTCCTCCTCCTTCTCCTCCTCCTCCTCCTCCTCCTCCCTCCTCCTCCTCCTCCTCCTCCTCTGAAGGCCACGGGAGAGACCCTGCCCCAGGGTATCTTTATTCTAGGAGGCACTGAAGCCTGATCCGATCTTCGTGCTGCTCCCGAGGCTCCCAACGCCGCTATCTAATGGCCTTCGGTCCATCCCGTCACCGTGCCTGGGTTGTGGTATGAAGCCTCTTTGATGTTTGTTGGGGTCCCGTGGGGGGCTGCTCGGGGGCCTCTTGGCAGTTCGGACGCCGCCTGGGGGTTTTCTGGAGGCCCCCGGGGGCTTCTTTTGGGCCTCGGGGGAGCCTCCTGGGGCCTCTTGGGGGCCTTTGGGGGGCCTCATGGTGCGCAAGGACGTGCAGGTGACCCTCTGGGAGGAGTGGACGCAGGCGGAGGAGCTCAAGAGCCTGAGCCCAATGCCTTTGGTGGCTCCAGCGGTGGCGCAGTTACGAGCACGAGAGTTCCCGAAGCATGCGAAGAATGCGGCGAAGAAGATCTTCATCGGAGGCGCGTGGACAATGGAGAAGCTCTGCAAGTGCACGGACATTTGCTTGGTTTGCGGTGATGCGGTGGGCACCGAGCACCATCCGTACTACAAGTGCGACGCGCTCAGGGACCAGCGGTTGCAGGCGCAGGCGGACTGGCAACACGTGGCGGAGCAGCAGGACACCAACATGTTGTGGACGCGTGGGCTAGTGAGGTCACCAGAGGCGGACTGGAAGTCCGTGGGCATCGCGGAGGACCAGTACTACGGGCAGGTGGTCGACGGTGAGGATGACTATTTCACAGGCGACATTGTCTGCGATGGCTTGAAGGTCGGGTACAGCGACAGTGCGCAGACGGGATGGGCAGCTATGTCCCTCACCGACAATGGCACCGCGAAGATGCAGATGTGGGGCCCGCTACCGTGTACGCTACCGATCCACAGGAGGGTTAAGAGAGCCGAGATGTGGGCTTTCCTCAAGGTGCTGGAGCGGATGCTGCCGCCAGGTCGAGTCTTCACAGACCACAAGGGCATCTTGGAGGGCATGCAGAAAAGGTGAGCGGTGGTGCACGAGCTGGAAGCGACCACG